GAGGGGTGTGTGTGTTCACGTGGTTTTGGAAAATACCCTGTGCTGGGTGTTCTGTAATGAGCATCCATCATTTCCAACAGGAATTAAGAAAACTGATGATTTGGCAACTTTATGATAACAACTTTCAAGGTGTGGTCTCCTAAATTAGACAATTTCTGTGTTTTAGTAGAGTCACCTGGCCTCCTGCTGTCTTTTCTGTGCTATTATACATTAGATATGAAGCTTTCCTGAGAAGAAACAAAAGATCCAGTTATCTCCAGGATTTTTTTCAGCCCAGGGTAATCCAGGCCTGTAGACAGATCTGTTAGATGAGTTCTCAGATTGAACTGGTTGCTGTAAAGCCTAAGATTTCCCAGCAACTGGTGGACTTCAGTCTAGGAAGAACCCTGGTAGCTTCTGCTAAGGTAAATATTAATACCAGAGTTGCTGGTATTAACAATGAAAAAGTTAATTGGTAGAAAAATCTTATCAACACGTTGCAAAGATCACAGTGCAATCGACTTCAGAGAAATGTGTTTAAATGGGGATCTTTTTTCTTTCACTTTTGGTTGCTCCTTCCATTGCGGTTCAGCTCTGCACAGCAGCAGTGGATGTAGTTGAGTGATCAGAAACTCCAGCATCCTCTGTAAGCACAGTGTAAATTCCAAACCCTTGTAATAGGAGGGGGGAAAAAGTTCAAGAAAAGTTCCCCCTCCCCAGCTTTCTGCACTCTGCGATGTCAGCATGCATGAGGAACAGCTCAGGTGAACCTCAGGCTGTCTGAAGCAGCAATAGGATGCCTTGCTCTGAGTTGATGATGCCTTGCTCTGAGTTTACACCGCCACTTAACTTTAGAGTCTTGAAGTATTAGAAAGACACTTCGCAGGCATCCTTCAAGGCAGATTTGAATGGAGGAGGCTTCCCGCAAGCCCACTGTGAATGCCTGGGGGCAGCAGCTTCGCCCGGAGCTCTTGTGTCCTTACGCACAGCCCGATGCCCCTCGCCAGCTGCATCTCCTGATGCTGCTGAGGGACCAGGTGCTTGTGGCCTCAGGGAAGTGTTCCTTTGGACCCAGCAAACTGGTGCACCTGCTTTTTATTTCCTAATACAGGGAAAACCCCGATTCGAGGTGCATTTCTGTGGTGAGGTGTGTCAGAACACAGCGGGCAGCAGCAGGGCTGCCGTGCGGGAAGCGAGCAGTGAATGCAAATCAGCAGCTCCGTCTCCTCAGGATGTTTACCCTGGTTTGTTCGCCACAGTTCTGTCATTACTGCCTGGCCATTAATTACTGCTGATTCCTGCTAGGATTTCAGTTCAATTCCGGGACATACATGGATATTACTTAAACGTACTTCGATAATAGTGGTAACCCGTGCGGGGGTGCTTTGGCGTGAAGCGCTCCGAGACTTACCTGTCCCAGCTCACCTGGAAATCCCTGCCGCTGTTTTCAGTCCTGTGCTCGGGATGTCCCGCTGCGACACCGCGACAGCAGACATTGCCCTCTGCTGGCTCCGGCATTCCCATCGCCTCCTCCTTGCTGCCACGGGTTCTTTCCCGGCCCTTCTCCCGTGCAGCAGAAGGCAGCTTTGAACACAGCTTTTTAGGATGCTGCAGCTCCTGTTTGGTTTTTTCTTCCCTGGAAGCTCCTGTTCATTTCGGAGAGCCTGCTGCAGCACAAACCCAAATCTTAATCATTGTTTTTAAATGTTACTGGTAGCGCCAAATCTGTAATTTTCGGAACTGACCCGTAGAAATGTAACTTCTCAAAACTGGTTTTGCAAGTGAAATAACTGCTAGGTTCTTAATGATTATTTGCATCAGTAGAATAAGATCTTTTGCTTAACACCGTAAGCTGGATGCTGATTCCAGCTGTCCTCAACAATTTCCCCCTTCCCTGCCCCAGCTGGGGCGGCTGCACGATGAGCTGGCTGCAGGCTCTGGGCCAGGTTAAAAATAAGCTGGCAAAAAGAGTTATTTTTAACCTGGGTCAGTCCCTGCTTGGGTCACGGCACGGCTGCCCAGCTCTCACGTGGGTGTGGAGGCACAGAGAACAGCAAAAAGGAGATGCTGGGGGAACTGAGGGCTGTTTAAACCCTGAGCATTCCTGGAAGGTGCTCCCTGGGTGGATATTCCTGCTCAGAACTTGGGCATTCCCACCCAGCCCCCATCCCCAATACCTGCTGTCTTCCTAAAAGCCATTTCCAGGATAAACATCACTGCTGACAAAGCTCTAGCAGAATTTAAGCACTTTTTGGTGGTGATGTCCTTTGTGGCTGACTTCTCCCAGAGTAAATTCTATTCAAGTTTTCTATTTGCAGTGGTACAGTCTGGCTCTAATGTTTCAAATACGTAGAACAGGAGAGAATAGTTGATGCAAATCACACTTTAGCTTTGCTGTGCCAGGTGTGCTAAAGGTGGATGATCAGAGGAAGATCTGACAGCTCATGCCATGCATAGCACTGCAGTAGATTCAGTATTTAAATCACAGCTGACGTGATGTTACACCATTTAACTAATTTCTGGTGCCATCCTGCTCTCCCATAACTCATAAGGGGGAAAAAGTTTGAGCAATTTTTTTGAGTCTACTTGTTGAACTAAAATTTGCCTTTGCTTTGGGGATATGGAAGAGTGAAGGACTCTGTTAGGTGATGGATTTAATCCTCTCAAATTCTTTAAGAGAGCTTATACGAAAGATGGAGACAGACCTTTTAGTAGGGCCTGTAGTGACAGGACAAGGGGTAATGATTTTAAACTGAAGGAGGCTTGACTTAGATACAGTGATGAAATGTTTACAGTGAGGGTCATGAAATGCCAGCACAGGTTACCCAGGGAGTTGGTAGGTGTCTCATCCCTGGGAACATTCAAGGTCAGGTTGGATGGGGCCCTGAGACACCCTGATCAGGGAAGATGTCCCTGTTTATTACAGGAGGGTTGGATCAGACGAGCTTTAAAGGCTCCTTCCAGCTGGAGTGTTCTGTGATTGCAAAGGTGGGCTGGTTTCCTGAGCCCAGTACTGAGGAGCTGTGTGAGTGTGCCTGGTTGGGATGTCTCTGTAATGCAAACACACCTAGAGCCTCAAGGATTGCCTCAGCATGTTTTCCATTCCTGCATCTATTTGCAAATATAAATTTTAGATGTACATTAAGCAAGACTTTGCACATGAAAAAGAAATCCATGCAATTTGTGTTTCCATGGGAGAGGAGGGATCTCCTATTTGTGACACACTGTAATTTGTTAGGAAGTGAACCTTCTTGACTAGTTTTTGTATGTGCAGCTGATACAAACAGGTTCCATGTACTTTTTTTCCCTTAGTCTTGGCATTTTATAGGCTTCCCTTCATAGGTAACATCAGCCTGATACCTTCTTCAGTGCTGTTTGTATGGTGTGTAAAATCCTGTAGCTTCTTATGAGTAATGATGGCAGTTCTGCATCTGGCCTTTCCTGAGCTTTTCCTTCCCCCCTGCCTCTCGTAGCTGAAGCCCTGGTGCCATCCTGGCAGCCCTCTCCTTCTGCAAGGAGAACCATCCACCCAGGGTTTTACCTGGCGTGATGCAGGCAGGCAGAGGCTAAATGCAGAAATCCTTGTCTTGCCATCACTCGAGTTTCTGTGGTGTCTGCTTGTTCCTTTGCAAGTGTGGGGGACTCCAGGAGCATTGAGGTGGGGATGGGCTCCTCGGGAAGGAGCATCCTCTGCTGACACCTGAGCACAGCCCGTGGGGTGCTCAGGATCCTCCTCTGCCGCGGGCCTCGGTGCCTCACTGTGCTGTGGAATGACTTTCTAAACACACCTTGCCTCCTTTTCCTCATGCCCTCAGAAGCATTTCCCTGTGTACAATTACAAGGTAAAGACAAAGCAGCCCGTTGTGTTTGGAAGTGGTGATGTGGGGCACACACAAAGTGGGGATTCCTGCTCTGTCCTGTCTTGCGTACGTGGTACCTTTTTCATCTTCAAAGCATTTTCCAGCCATGAACTAAGAGCATTAGCTGAGAGCACACACCCCTCCCTGAGCAGCTGATGCCGGGCACATCCCAGGAAAAACTTGCAGAATATGACACACCACTTTTGATGAAAATAAAATGATGCCATATTTCATCAGCTCTATTAGCAGTACTTAAGTAATTGAACTAACGAAACTTTAAAAAGCCTTTAAGAGATGAATCTGGTACACACCTTTGTTCCAAGTCTTCCCTCCTGCCCCCCTTATTTTCCCTGTTGAACATCTTTTGTTGACTTTTTGGCATCTGTTTGTTTTCCAATGTGTGGTTTTCCTGAGTTTTGTGTGTGTTATGGTAGCTGATTTCTCTGCTTTGCAGCAGTGGTACTGTTGCAGTTTCTGCAGCAAAGGGAAGTGTCATCTGTAAAACAGCATGAGTATGACAGGAGTATCTCATCTTTCATACCAGTTTTTGCAAACATTGGGTTTTATTTCCATTGTGTGCATTGGCCTGTGCTGTGTGTGCCTGCCTTGCCTCTGGGCTGCGTATACCTCTCACAACTCCAACATGTTTTCTTGTCTTCAGGTGTTCCATCACACATCTCTGTCATCCTTCCAGCTGTGATGTCAAACATCTGGCCCCTCTGAACCCATGCTGGCTTAATGCTTGTCCCATCACCCCTGTAGCCAGCTTGTGTATTTATCTCTCCTTTCCCTTTATCTTTTCCTTGAGCAGGACAGTCCAGATGATGTGGGATTTGACCACATGCTCTGCACAGGACAGAAATCCTGTCCAGGGCCATGTGCTCAGCTCCCTCACCCTGCCTTTTGGGGAAAAGGGTACAGTGGCACCTGAGTCGTCATATCTAGTGGACTTTTTTGGGTGCAGTGACCGACCACTGATGGAGCTTTCTGCTCCTGACACTCCCCAATCTGCAGGTACACAGGACTGTCCATGACCAACCACAGCCAAGGCATGAGCTTTGTGACCCCTAACACCCAGCCCATTTCTGAGGGCTTTTTTCCAGACTAAACTGATGCACTGCGGGTGCAGCTGACCTTTCTCGCCTTTGTTGCTTTTTGCAGGGGAGGCAGATGAGGAAGCCTTTGCCGAGGAGTGCAGACGGAGAGGACAACACGCGCTGCCCTCCCAGCCCAGCAACCTCCGCCTGCTGAAGCCTCACAAGCCTGGCACCTCCCCTCGCTTTGCCTGCTACCACAATGGTGATGAGGTGGAAGAACAGGACAGGAGCCGGGTTCTGAGCAGCTTCGAGACCCCTATTTATTTATCAGGTGTGCACAAGCATGTTGGTGAGAAACGTGCAGAGAAGGACCCATCACATAGTCAAAAGCCAAACCCAAAAAGCCAATCAAGAAGTTGGTGCTGTGTGTTGACTTAATGCTAGTTCCCTGGTAGATAATAAATAGCAGCTCTTTGCCTTCATCCTGCTTTAGCTCTGATCTTCCATTTAGCCTAGATTCACTAATGCCCTGGGATATTTAAGGATCCAGGGCAAATACTGCTGTGCTGCTGAAGTGCCTGTGCTCTTTGTTGTTAAAAGTGAAGGCATTTTAGAGGTTAATTCATCACAATACTTTGCACATTCATTTACTTAAATTGTGCTTGGCTTCCTTGTCCAAGGAGAAGTTCAGCAAGTTGATACTATTTCTGGAAGCTGCAGTTTTAGGCAACTAAATCCTAATAGAGGATGCTGAGAACGTTCAAGCAAATGTGACAACGTGGCAATTGTCCGGGTTATTTTTGAAGTAATTAGTCCTTTGATATATTTCCAGTCTGTAATTTTTTGGCAATGTAGTCCAGAGGCTATCTTGGACAATGAAGTCCTCATAAGTACTTGATTTAATTGGAACCTGTGGTGAGATATATCTAGGACTGTGAGGACAGGTTTTTCTGATATGTGAAAGAAGCTTTTCTACTTGGATGCCCAAAGCAAGGACCCTTCTCAGTAGTGTTAAGTGCTGGGAAGTGTGAGCCTAGGAGGCTTCTCAAAGTAAACACAGCACATGAAAAATATGCACTGTATCCCAAACCAGGTGCTCACGTACTCCCAGTGCTATACCAACTTCCAATGTGTTTATGAGCCTTTAAACCTAACAATGTCTTTTGTATGGAAGACCTGAAGATATGATAGATGACCCATTGACAAAATAGAATAATTTAGATTAATGTCCTCCTGATAAGTTGTTGTTTGTGTTTTTAAAGATGACCAAGTTGAAACTTTTCTTTTTAAAACAAAAAAAAGGCAAAAAGTTACAGAGGCCTAAATGACACCTCTGGGCTGATTTTCTGAAGCCTCCCACGCAAGGGCTACAGGTTTGGTGTCCTGTGTCTGTGGCTGGCAAAACAAAACCTTGGCTCTGCCTTTGGACACACTAGGGTGTCTGCAATCACCATATTTTGCAATGGATTCCAAGGAGCAGCTGAGTTTGAAAAGCACCATGCAATTTTTGGAGCAATTTTAAAGATTGCTTAAGACTTTTTGCTGTGAATTTATTTATGCTCCAAGACGCACAAGTTTGCAATTAAAATTAATTTCTAGAAGTATTAGTGCAATCACAAAATGCTCTCTTCTACCAGTAGATTGTGAGTTGCCAAAAAAACTCAGGGTGAAAACTTGATTGCAGTAAGACTAAGATTTTACTGTTGCTTTAAATATTTTGCCTGCTGTTCCTCTGATGGACAGGGCTGCTGAAGGACTGGTCGAGTCAGTCATAAAAACCTACGTGAGTGTCTTAATCCTTCCCTGGGGAGTGTGTGCACGAGTCCTGGCCAGTTATGCCATTCCCCTTCATGGGTGTTCACCTCTTGCCCAGCAAGCAGCTTCACCAGCACAGCTCTGTAGTTACAGAGACCACTCTACTCGCTTGGCTTCTCATCCATCACTGCCGTGCTTCCACGGGCCGGCGTCAGGAGAGAATGGCATCATTTCTGCCTTGCTCCAAAGCCCTCTCAAGTCACTGGGAAACAGCTGAGTTCAATGGCCTCAAACCAGGTGCAGTTCCACCTTGAATCAGATGTTTTTGCCACCACCAGCGTGGGGTTCCTGGCAGCAGGACCACACAGCAGTTTTAGATGTTGTCCCAGTTGCAGCATCTCAAGCAAACCCTCAGTCATTAATGATTCACCTGCAGGGAAGTGTTTTTATTTTCCCAGCTCTAAGAATGGGACTGAATTTTGATTTGTATGTCTGTAGGAAATTTAAATGAAGGAGAAGGGGATAGGTTTCATCTTGACTATGTGGTGGGAATCCCTCTGGAAGTGGCATAATTCTAGGGCCCAAGAGGAAAGGCTGGCCAACTCCTTTATGCTGGCAATATCCAGAGGTGAGATGAATCCTCTCCTTAGTCAGGATTGCCAGTTATCACAGTGGGTATTTAAGAAAAAAATTGTGAGTTTAATTTAATTCTTCATCTACCATGGGCACTTTGTGTTTTAGTAGAAATTGCCCTGGAAACTGTTCTCGGTTTCATAATGGCCTTTTAGAATAAAACTTCACCTCTCGTGCTCTGAAGTTGCTGCATGTATCAAACAGTTCTCTAGCTCCAAAAAGGAATTTTTGAAATAAGAATTCAGATACTGCAAGTGATGTGCTCCCTGATAGTGTGATACACAGCTGGCTGGGGGGATCTGAGCCATGTCAAAAGTGCTAATGCCAGCAGAGACCTGGGGATGGCAGCTGGTAATGCCAGAGGTAGTGGTAACTACCCCTTAAAAACTACTGCTTTGGATTTGAGAGTTTTGACCTTTATCCAACAAGAATGATTGAAATGTTTAATTGTTAAAATAGACAAAAAAAATGTTACAAATTTCATTATTTGGAAGATAATATTGCAAGGTTTGCTCTTCCTTTTCAAAGAAATAGCTTGCATTAACCTACAACTCACAACATTAATAATTCATTTTTTTGCTGCATTTTCATCTGCTGGCACCTGTGAAGAGGAAACCACTCTAAAAGAAGTAGCTTAACTAATCTTGATCCTTTCCTGGCATGGTTTCCTCTGCTGGAAAGTTGAGCTGTTTGTAGTTCATTTCATCTTTAATTCAGTCTCCGTTCTTTTTACCAATGTGCAGTTTCCTGAATTACACTTTACTAACTAGTAACAGTGATGTGCTTTGTTATCCAAACTAATTACTTTATAATTCCATCACAAACTTTGTTTTGGGCATTTAATGGAAATAGAAAGGAAAGCAAAGCCACTGATTTTTGTGGAAGTCTAATACATGAGGAATGCTGGAGGTGCAGAGGTGGAGTTTGCCCTCACTTTGCTCCACATCCCCTTGCTGTAACTGTGCAAGTGGGATGGGGTAACAGCTGTACCTGTATAGGGCAGGGGCTGGGAAGGTTGGCTGGTGGGTTTGGAGGCTGGCTGGTGGGTTTGGAGGCTGGCTGGTTGCCCCCAGGCTTAGCCCAGAGCAGCTCTCAAGCATGGTATTTTGGCTGCTGGTATTAAATCATCCTGTTACCCATCAAAGATAGCTGGGTTGTGTGTGGAAGGGCTTCCATGGCTGCACAGCCTTGCAAGCTTTTGCTTGCCACCTGGGAGTAAAACCTTGGAAATCTATTCAGTGCTTGTGTTACAGTAGGAAAACAGATGATATCTGGCTTGGTTTGTTCTTGTGGCAATTCTAAGCAGAATTGGTAAAGACCATGACATGGTGAACAAGCATGAAGGAAGGCCCCTGCAAGTTGCTAAAGCTTCTCAGTCCCCTAAAAGATCAAAGTTGGGATTACATCACCAGATTGGCCAGTGAAACTGGAGAACTCACCCCTTGGATTTAACAGTGTGGATAATTGAATAGTGGAACAGCATACCTAGACAGGGTGGGATGTTTTGTCACCCCAGGTCTTGACTAAAGGCTCCCTCTCCATGATGCTCCGTGGCACAGGAGGAGGAGGAGGAGCAGGCAGGAGCTGGGGATGAGGACAGGGAATTAGTAGGTCAGGTTGTGCTGTGTGCTGGGCAGTGGCTCAGGCTGAGGGGAGGGGATGTGAAAGTGTAAAGTTGTAATTGCAAATTGAGTCACACATGAAATTATACTCAAGCTGTGATCTGGTATGTGTTTTTACAACGGCATATGTGAGTATGGTCAGTCTAAAATAACTGAGGGTGGCTGCAACTCAGAAGTGAGCCAGCTGCCTTTAAAATGGCAGTTTATTGTTTTGACTAGAGAGAGATTTCTAGGAGCAGAAAATTAGAAAGAGCACTACAGAACCCAGCTTGAAATTGCCTCACTGCCCTTTTAAAGCTCTGTGGGTGCTGGGGCCATGGCTCCTTCCATGCTTTGAAGGAAGGCCACAATCTTAGCAAAAAGTTGGTAGATCTTGCAGAACATTTTCTCTGAGACTTGAGCAGAAAATATGAATCCCTCCCACCCCCAACCTCAATGTTTCTCTCTGAAAGTGGAAGGAGGCTGCTCCAAAGTCTTCACCTTAGCAGATCTTCTGTAAAAATCGTGCCATGGCCTTTGTTGCTCGCTGATGTGGGTCAAGCAGCAGCAATGCTGTGTGTTAATTGTCAGCTATGACCGAACACCTTGTTTCCTTCTGCTGACTCCTACGCTGCTCTGTGCTGGCAGAAGGAAGGTGGAGCAGACCTGTGGCCTCTCTGCATCCTGGTAGAGCAGGCAGATGTCAGGCAGGGCAGGAAAAAGCAGGATAGCAGAAATGCATTGGGTAGGAGTGCCTTCCCCAGGACATTGTGCCTTGGGATCGGCCGCCCGACGTGCACACCTCCCTTGCAGTTGCCACCCAAGAATGTGATGAGTTTCACGGGCAGTGACTGAACAAACTCGTGACTTTGGGAGGTGCAGATGGCAGGGAAGTAGAAAGCCAGAAGGAAAGTCAATCTGGGACACAGCAGAGGAGCTTCCCAGTTTGTTTTGGTCCTTGCTGAGTGATGGGTGAAGCAGTTGCACCTAAGTGTTTCTGGAAGTTGTTTTCAGCCTTCAGTAGCTTCACGAAAGCTGGAACAGCTTCTGAATGTGCTCCTTGTGGCTTTTCTAGAAGTAGAAAAGAAGGGGATGACGTGGAAGGAGTTGGTTAGCTGATGCTGGTTGTTTTAGACAAGAATTATCCAAGCAGTAAAGCAGGTGTAATTCCAAATGGTGTGGATCCCTGCTTCACCCATCTCTGCTCCTGGCAGCTGACAAAAGCAAGAAATACCAACTTAGGGAGATTTCTATCTGCATTTGAGTGAATCTGTTTTCCAGACGTCACAGCTTGGAGAAGCTCTTGGCAACCTGTTCTCTCTCTGCCCTGTGAGGCATTTCTAGATTTGGGGTGGCTAAAGATTGCTGCTAAGGGTGCAAATCTGAACAGCCTCCTCCAAGGCCAGCACTGTTTGGCTGAAGTGCAGCACTAAGGGAAGTTTCTATGGACACTTTGGGACGCTGGCAACTCGCCAGGACACAGGCTCACTGCAGAGTGATCAGTCATTGGGCTGCTGCTTTCTAATTCAGATTTTGTTGTCTCATGACTTTGGGGCTAGTCTTGTAACCAAGGCAGCTAAATATGCTTTTAATTAGCGCTGGTTGAAGTGTTGGAGTGAAATAGATACCGAAGGGTTACTTCTTCAGTGTGCAATCTTTATTTATGTTAGGAGCTGCTTCACTCGTTTGGATCAGGTTTTTGGCTGTTATCACCCAGCATCACTGGAGCAACAGACTGGCAAAGTTTGACCTATCCTTTCTTCTTAGGTGGAGATAGAAAAGGAAACGGCAGACAGTGAAATTATTTATCACAGCAGGCTCAAAACAGAAAGGACCTGGCCATTTTCTCTTGAGGAATACTCTGTGTTTGTGTGTTATCTCCTGCTTTGGGCAATCTCTTTCTGTGTGTCAGTGATAACGCTTGAAAGATTTCCACTTTTCAGCCTTATCATACCAGAAGCTGGTAGGAGACAATGTTGTCAAATGCCTAAATATCTTCATACTGTAATATTTTAACATTTGAGTTGTTTCATTTATAAGACAATAAATTATGTGGCATTCACTTCAAGTCATAATTTACATTGACTCAGTATTTTTAAGAAACAGTTGCTAGAATTGCTTTCAAAATCTCAAGCATTTGAAGAAAATGGGAAAAAAAAAGTATTATGATATAAAATAACAGCATCAAATGCTATCATGCCTGGATGTGGAAACCTTTTAGAAACACTGACACTGTTTTGAGAACGAGAAATTAAAAAAATTATGAAGCTAATACCTGCTAGGGCTTAATGATCCTTTCCCAAACATGTGCTATTGTTTCATAGTTATTACAAGAGCTAGTTCTGATCAGCTGATATGATGCTGTTTTTCCTTCCAGTAAAGGAAGGAATCCTTTGAATAACACCTCCCAGATGACTGATTCTCAGGAGTCAGCACATCTCTTCCGCCTCCCTTGACCTCTGTGAGAAAGCAGGGAGATGCTTGAGCCCTTCAGGGATGGGTGTCTTACTCAGTGAATTGAATGCAAAAGGATCCTATTTTTGGTGACCAAGGGGCTGACGTGGAAGAAAACTTCCTGGATGGAGTTCTTAGTGAGGAGATGTTCACACCGTGAACAGGGACAGGAGTTCAGCTCAGGGGGTGACAGAGTGCAGGGGAAAACCCAGTGTCATCTGCAATTCTGCTAAGCACCGCCAGTTTCTCTCTTCCTTAAACAAGAACACTGGTTTCCACTCTAACTTTGTGCAGGCTGATTGCTCATGGCAGAATTTCTAAATAAATATCCTGCCTCTTGACTCAGGTAATTACAAAAGATGAAGTCATGCTGTGGGTACAGCACAGGAGCTAGAGTGATAACCTAGAACAGTTTTCCGTTGTACAATGAGTGTATTTCCTCTAAACTTTTGATAATGTCTCAAATGGTTTTAGCCAAAAGACTTACCTTGTGGTTCTCCCCAAGTCTTAAGCTTAAACT